TGCCTGGCGTGAGTTTTAAGCCACCCAGTCCAGGATGCGAACCATGGTCAACTACATGGGAGTTCAGCGACATAGCCATTACGCTAACTGCTGGTCCCAAAAGCAATTACTTTTTTTTGGGGGGGAGAGGTTTTTTTTGCTATAGGGCGCATACGCTCACCAGACAGACAGAGAGAGACAGACAGAAATCGAGAAATCACCCTCCAGGGGGGGATGGCAACGCTGTAATCCCTTCTCCTCCATTCTCCTCTTGGGATCCTGGGCGCACACGCACCTAGCGTGAGTTTTAAGCCACTGGGTCCGGGATGCAAACCGCAGTCGACTGCGTGGGAGTCCAGCAACATAGTCATTATGCTAACTGCTGGTCCCAAAAGCAAATTTTTTTTTTTTTTGGAGAGGGTTTTTGCTATAGGGTGTATGCGCTCGCCAGCCAGCCAGAGACAGACAGACAGAAAGCGAGAAACCACCCTCTAGGGGGGATGGTCACGCCACAATCCCTTCTCCTCCATTCTCCTCTTGGGATCCTGGGCACACACGCACAGGCGCCCGGCGTGAGTTTTAAGCCACCAGGTTCAAGACGCAAACTGCTGTCTACTGCGTGAGAGTCCAGCAACTTAGCCATTACGCTAACTGCTGGTCCCAAAAGCAAATTTTTGAAAAGTTGGGTATAAGTTGAATTTACATAAATCCAATTATGATATTTCATGAGAACTTTGTTACTTAAAGGGAGGTTTGTGACTCCCTTTTTATAGTTAGAGTTTAATACTCTCTGAGCCAGATTTTTCTATTTCAAGTTTGCTTAAAGCAATGTATGCCCAACTGCGATAGGACTGTGTTATTCTGTGGGGTCATTGCTTATTATTGTATAATTACATCCTAGTTGTTTCATTTAGGTTTACTTTGTCTTATCAACTATATTTGAAACTTGCCAAGATATAAATTGTATCTTCTTTTGCATATCCCCCTTCTTTGTATCTCGGAAGTAAGAATGGCGCACACATTCTAAGCTGTCAAAGACTTTGGAAATTTATGGAAAATAATGTATGAAATGATGTCTGGAAAAAACAGAATCAAACACTTTCATGACTCGTATGATGATAGAATTATGGATAATTTTTTCTTTTACCTCTTTCTCAATGAATTTAGAGCGATACTTGGTTTTATAACTAAAAGCATGAATTTAAAGAAAACGTTGGCCTTTTGGTGGTATTTATAAATATTCCATCACTCTGCAACATTACATGTTAGAGTTAACACATAACAAGTAGGGAGTGAAAAAAGCTTGAGTGGAATGTTACCCTTTTTCAGCTTATGATACATAGCACATAGAAGGGGACCTTTGAAGATTAATCCAGCCGATTCCCGTTCCTCCACTGAAATGGGTTCGGGTCCTTCTCACTTGTTTCAACAACATGCATTGCCCTGTTATCCTGCGATTTCCTAGGAACTGGGACCCCGGTTGGCTGCAATGCTCAACTTCAATCTTCAGCAACTCTGTGGCCCCAAGTGCCGTGACCTGAAAGTTGAAAATCCAGAGAAATACGGCTTTGAACCAAAGAAGCTGTTGGACCAACTGACGGATATCTACCTGCAGCTGGACTGTGCTCGCTTCGCCAAAGCCATCGCTGACGACCAGGTCAGTAGCGGGAGCCAGGCCCTCTGAGGGCGAGGCTGCAGGCTGCTGAGCTACTGGGGCTGGGCTGGAACTCTGGACCTCCTGGCCGTCCATCTCTGTCTGTCCTGGGTATCCCCACTAACACAAGGAAGGTGATACTTAGGAATTGTGGTTTGAGAAGCTTTTGGTTTGTAAATGGAGTAGGACCACAGTGTCCGGGAGCGCCTCTGGTGTCCTTGGAGAGGAGCTGGTTGTTTTCCTTCAGGTGTTCAGGGATTGGCTCCCGGAACCTTCTCCAGCTGAGTTCCCACCCCGTCTTGCTGCGGGCCTGGCTCAGCAGCTGCATTACATTCCCAAAAGAGCCTGATTTTCTCAGAGAAGCCAAGCCTGCTTCCAAGCCTCCTGCTCTTAGTGCTGTTGATATTTTTGTGGTCTTCCAGTTTTAACACCTTGTTGGTTATGTTTACATTCTTCCTTGTCTTATTCATGTGTCCCCCTGCTCAGATCTGTTTTGTTTCTTCATCTCCACAGCCACTGAGTTAGTCCAGGCTACCCCTCCCTCGATTCCCTGTGTGATTTTTCCAGTAATCTCACACAGGACTTCCCCTCCCTCCACGTTCGGTCCCATATCATCTTCCACATCATAACAGCCAATGCTTATTAACTGCGTACCCCATTTTCACCACTAGTTTTCGCTAATTTAAGCCTCACAAAATCCTGTCATGTAGGACGTTAAATTCCTTGTTTTAAAATGAGGAAACTGAGGGCCAGCAGGCGGCATGGTGATGAAGGCACTGGACTCCCACATGGTTGACCATAGTTCGAGGCTTGGACCTGGCATCTTGCTTTTTCACTTTCCCTTTGTTTCTCTCTCTGTCTCTCTCTGGTGAGCATACATACCCTTTAGCAGATTTTTAAAAAATAGTAATACTAAAAAAAGGTAAAAAGTAAATAATTCTTTAAAAAATACAATGAGGAAACTGAGGCACAGAGAAATTAAACAAATTTCTCAAGGTCACATAGTGTGAATAGAGGCAGAATTCACACCCAGGCGTCTGGCTCCAATCCCTACTTTCTCTTTTCTTTTGCAATCCTTCAGGTGATTTACTTTCCAGGCTTTTTCTCTTTCTTTCTCAGGGAATGAAGTGTCTTTCTTCCTACTCTGAACCCCCTCTGCTGTCCGTTTAAAATGCCTAGAAAGCACCACTTGTTTCTGCGTCTCCATCTTTTATGTAAGAATTTAAGGGATTTTTTTTTTTTTGTATAACAGCGTGATTGAGCTATAATTCTTATATGTAAGTACTATTCTTGGTGTAAGCAAGAGAAGTAGTCTTGACAAAGTTATCTTCAATAGGAAAAAAATACATGTATCTAAAGCAACTTTTCAAGAAAACGTAGCGGTAATGAGGAGGTTAGGAAATTGCAGTTATTTGGGGGAAATTTTAAAACATGTGTCGTTGGGACCAACAGTTAGCGTAATGGCTATGTCTCTGGACTCCCACATAGTCGACCGCGGTTCGCATCCCGGACCTGGTGGCTTACAGTCACGCCAGGCACATGTGCGTGTGTGCCCAAGATCCTGAGAATGGAGGAGAAGGGATTGCGGTGTGGCCATCCCCCCTGGGGGGTGATTTCTCACTTTCTGTCTCTCTGTCTCTCTGATGAGCGCACATGCCCTATAGCAAAAACCTCTTCAAAAAAAAAAAAAGTGTTTTCGTAGCCTACAACTGTATAATACTGCACATTTAGAAATGGAAGACTGCCAACAGGTGGCGTGGTGAAGGCAGCTGAATCCCATATGGCTGACTTCATGGTGCAAGTCCCAGACCCGTTGGCTTTTTCAAAACCACACTGGATGCATATGCGTTTGTACCCAAAACCCCAAGAGAATAGGGAACGGCTTGTGGCATGGCCATCCTTTCTAGGGGAGAAGAGGTTATTTCTTTCTTCTCTTTTCCTCTCCCTCTGTCTCTCTCTTTCTCTCTCCAGTGGGCACACACATCCTGTAACAAAATCTAAAATGGGGGGAAGGGAGAAGCAGGTCGCATGGAGGTTAAGGCACTGGATCCCACATGGCTGGGTGCATGGTTTGAGTTCTTGAAATTCATGGGACCAGCAGGTGGCATGGAGGTTAAGGGTGCTGGACTCCCCATGGCTGACCATGGTTCAAGTCCCAAACCTGGTGACTTGTTTTCTCTCTCACTCTCTCTCTCTCTCTCTCTCTCTCTCGTGTGCATTGTCCCTCTCTAGTCAAATTTAAATAAATAAATAAAGTTGTTTATAAAATAATTCTTAAAATATTAAAAAAGAATTCACTCCAGGCATGTGTGCATGCATGCTCAAAATCCCAAGAAGAGAATGGAGAAAGGATTGCAACATGGCCATTCCCCCTGCAGGATGATTTCTCTCTCTCTCTCCGGCAAGCTCACGCACCCTATAGTAAAAACTAAATGAAAAGAAAGACAAGTGGTAGTCTGTAGAGGGTCTGTAGAGGGAAAGAAAACAAACGCCTATCGAGGTAGGGTTGTCTGCCTTTGAGACAGCCCACCTGGCATCTCCAGCCCAGCCCGAGGTTGAGTGTGAAAGTCCCCAGGGGCTCTTCCATTTTTTACTGTAGAGACCTGGAAGAGTTGTCAGGCCTGTGTCCTCCTCTCCTGGTAGGTCTCCCTGTGGCCTCCACATCACAAGGAATTAACATAACACAAATAAGGTTTACAGTGTGGACGAACAGAGCACACGCAGAAGGATGGTGAAAACCTAGTGACGGGGTGCTTCAGACTGCCTTCTCTTAGTGACCAACAAAACATCACTGGTAATAACCTGTGGATTATGGTGGCAGCTTATGGTGGCCCCTGGCTTGAGTCGTAGACAGCGAGCAGTTTCTACATAGCGGCACGTAGGTCTCCTTGAATGTCTAAATAGCCTGGTCTTCCAGACTGTCACGGTCCAGAGTAAGACTCGACACCATCTCAAGAAAGAAGGAAAGTTTATTGAGAGAAAGAGCTTGGGAGTGGGTTTGGGGGACGGGGTGGTCTGAAGCCAGAGGTGCCTCAGTCGACCTGCTGAGAAGGAGGGTCTCTGTTTATAGGGTAATCGAGCTCTTCTGAGAGACTGTGACAGATGCCAGGGAAGTTAGGCATAGTGGGATAAGCATACATGGGACCAGCAGGTGGCATGGTGGTTAAGGGTGCTGGACTCCCACATGGCCAACCATGATTCAGTGGAACATTTGGTGGGTCTTTTTGATCCATCTCTAGGGAGTTAGAGTTCCCAGTACTCGCTCTGGGTCTTTATCTGCTGCTTCCTGGGCCAGTGTGACCTCGCAGTAGCAGCACCTGGAGTGTGGGCTCTTGCCAAGACCAACTATGCAGAAGTTCGACCCTGGTTCCTGGTCAGGCCTGGAGCCATACCAAATGGTACTCAGGAGAATTTTACTCTGTGGGACTTTCCACAGGCCCATGAAGCAAACACACATGCCAGTGGCATGTGGAGAGGAAAATACATTTTAAGTGGACTTTTTGGGGTTTTTACAGTGTGTTTGTATTGATGGTTGGGCATTTTCTGGTAAGAGCTTGCCTTTTTGATCCTTTTGAAAGGGGGCTTTGGGGCTGGGATAGAAGGCTAGAAAGGAACAGAGGAAAAGTGGAAGAATTTGTTTCCTCCTTGGAAGCAGTAGTCTTGGTTTGGTTTGCTTTGCTTTGGTTTGCTTTGCTTTGCTTTGGTTTGGTTTGGTTTGTCTTGTTTTCCTTGGAAGACTCGGGAAGAAGGCTACAAAGATTCGTGAGAAAAGACACTGAGAGATCTATCCCCGTCTGTACCAAGAGGGTCTTAAGACAGGTGTCCAGAAGTTTAGCAGAAAGGCGCCAGGACGAGGAGCCACTGAGCTGCACACTCACTGCGGGGAGAGCCCCGCGTCCCAGAAGGGAACACAGTGATGGTTCCTGGAGCTGAGGGAACCCAGGACAGGAGGCAATTAGTGAACTCCGGTGGCGTCGATGGCCGTGACAGACTGCATGTCTGACGTTCATGGAACTTTGTCTGTTAACACTATTTTTCATTAAAATATTAAAAATACTGAGCCCATCAGCACACATCTCCCCATGCAGTCTTTCCATACTGCTCCTACCTGTACCCTCCCAGGATATTGAGTCTGTGTATCCCAAATTTGTGCTTTCATTTTTTTCTTTGTTGAGGTGAAATTCATATCATATAAAATTAAGGTTTTTGGGGACCAGCAGGTGTCATGGTGATTAAGGTGTTATACTCTCACATAGATGACTACAGTTCAAGTCCAGACCCGGCAGCTTGAAAATCACACTGGGTGTGTGATTATTTTGTGTGTGTGTTTAAAGATTTTTGCCACAGGGCAGGACAGAAGGTAACATAGTGGTACATTACTGAACTCCCACGTGACCGACCATGGTTCAAGTCCTGGACCTGGTGGCTTGAAACTCATGCCGAGCACATGTGAGTGCATGCCCAAGATCCCAGGAGGAGAGTGGAAAAGGGGTTGTGGTGTGGTCATTGTCCCAGGGGAGTGATTTCTCACTTTCCCTCTCACTGTCTCACTTTCTCTCCCCCTGGCGAGCACCTGTGCCCTAAGGCAAAAACCTCTATAAAACAACAGAAAAAAAAATTTCTGTCATAGGGCACATGCACTCACCAGAGACAGAGAGAGAGACATACAAAGAGGGAAAGTGAGAAAGCACCCCCAGGGGAGATGACCACACCACAATCCCTTCTCTCCTCTAGTCTCTTCTCAGGATTTTGCACCTGGTGTGATTTTCTGTTTTTTTTCTTTTTTTTGGAGAGATTTTTGCTATAGGGCACGTGTGCTCGCCAGAAAGAGAGAGACAGAGAGACAGAAAGTGAGAAATCACCCCCCAGGAGGGATAGCCACGCGCAATCCCTTCTCTTCCATTCTCCTCTCGGGATCTTGGGCATGCACACACACGTGCCTGGTGTGAGCTTTAAGCCACCGGGTCCGGAACTCGAACCATGGTCAACTACATGGGAGTTCAGCAACATAGCCATTACGCTAACTGCTGGTCCCTCCATTTTTAATTTTTCAGACCATATACTTGGGAATGGGGTTGCTGGGTCATATCATAATTTCATGTTTAATTTTTGAGGGGCCACCAAACTACATTCCACAGCTGCTGCACAATTTGGCATTCTCAGCAGCAGTGTGTGAGAGTTCCAATTTCTCTATATCCTTATCAACACCTGTTCATTTTCTGTTCGTCTTAAGTAGTTATTCTAATGGGAGCAAAGTGCTGTTTCATGAATTATCTATTCAAATCCTTTGTACATTAAAAACAATTTTTTAAAATTCGTGATAAAAGAGCATGTGCACTAGAGATAAAAAGAGAAAAACTCCCTTGACAAGGTCTTATCACTCTGCAGTTCCCTTCCTGTAGCCCCTAAGCTCATCGGGATCTTGGGTATGTCTTGCATGCCATGTCTTACATGCCCGGTGCGTTTCAGGTCTACTAGATTAGAAATCCAAACCCAGGGTTAGCCGTGTGGCTTCTGTCACTGCTGTTCAAGATGCTGCTGAGCATGCTGTTCTGTCCTTTTTTTTAAGGTTTCTGCCATGGGGCATATTCATTCACTGGAGAGACAGAGATAGTGAAAGCGAAAGTGAGAAATCTACCCCCACCTCCCAACCAGGGAGAATGGCCATGTCACAGTCTCTTCTCCATTCTCCTCTCCAGATTTTGAGCACACACATAGGCACCTGGCATGAGTTTCAGGTCACTGGGTCTGGGACTTGAACCACGGTGAGCCGTGTTGGAGTCCAGTGTCTTAACCACCACTCCACCTGTTGGCCTCATTGTCAATTTTTAATTGAGTTGTTAGTGTCCTTATTGTTGAGCTATAAGAGGTCATTATATATGTTGGATACTAGAGCTATATCTGATATGTCATTTGCAGGTATGTTCATGTTTAATTTTATAACAGTCTGTAAGATCCTTGAAGTCAAGGACAGCTACACTGCTTGACACCTACCAGAGGAACCTTGAAGTAGCTAAGTCATAAGTATCTGGTTAATTCATTGATACCACTGCTCTGTGAGGCTGAGTATCATGTCCACTTATATAAGTACCTTCTGGTTGCTGATAATGCTCACTACGTTGCTCTGTCTTAGAAGGTGACTTAGAAGTCAGCACAAGTCAGCTAGTTAAAAACTTACCATGGGGGGCCAACAGGTGGCGTGGCGGTTAAGGGTGCTGGACTAGCCAACCATGGTTCAAGTCCTGGCCCTGGAGGCTTGCTTGCTTCCTCTCTCTCTCTCTCTCTCTCTCTCTCTCTCTTATTCTGTCCCTTTCTGGTCAAATAATAAATAAAGTTAAATAAAATAATTGTTTTTTAAAAATCTTACCATGTTTTGAGAAATAGACTGGTTAATATTTTGGGGATGATACATGGGCTAAGAAATAACTACTTAATACAAAGAGAAGTTCATGGTGAAATAGTCTCTCTCAGTAGTGTCGTTACCCGTGCCCACCCCAATCTTTGATTAGCTCTGTCCATTTTTACTCTTCCTGATCTTCCTGTAGTTTTTGTGGCCACTTATCCTCTGTCTTACTTTGTTAACAATAAAAAGGCACTGAATAAAGTAGTAGTTGAATTAGTGTAGTGATTTAGCTTCAGAAAACTACAGTGGGGGGCCAGCAGATGGACTTGCACATGGATGACTATGGTTTGAGTCCTGGACCCAGTGGCTTGAAACACACTGGGCATGTGTGCGTGTGTGCCCAAGATCCCGGGAGGAGAATGGAGGAGAAGGGATTGTGGTATGGCCATTCTCCCTGAGAAGTGATTTCTTACTTTTCTTCTCACTGTCTCTGTCTCTGTCTGGTGAACACATGCACCCTAAGGCAAAGAAAGAAAGAAAGAGAAGAAATAAAGAAAAAAGAAACGACTGCAGCAGGGAGGCTCTCTGAGCTTTTCAGGGTTCTAGAAGATGGCCTTTAGGATTATTGTTAGTTCCAGCACCCTGCTACCACTTTACCCTTTCCTCTCTTTTCCCCCCAGTTGCATGGTCAATAAGGGGCGTGGGTGTGCATGGAGTGAGAAACCCAGCATATGCATACATTTAGAAACTAAAGTTAAAAAAAAAAAAAAGAAAGGTTGAGGAATTCCTACTATAGACGTTGATGTGAATCCACAGATAGAAATGAAAGGTCGTGGAGCCAGCAGGTGGCGTGGTGGTTAAGGTGCCGGCTTCCTACGTGACTGACCACAGTTTGAGTCCCAGAACTAGTGGCTTGAAAATCAGGCTGGCTGCATGTGTGCGTGTGCCCAAAATCCCAGGAGGAGAACAGAGGAAAAGGAGGATAAAGGATTACAGCGGGGCAGCCATTCACACGGTGGGTGATTTCTCACTTTCCCTCTCGCTGTCTCACTCCAGGGGTGAACACACCCTATGGCAGAAACCTAAAACAAACAAAAAGTAAGAAATGAAAGATCACATTGTCCAGAGCAAAAGCTCAAAAGGAAAACAGTAGTGTGAACCTAGGCTGCCCATGCTCGGGTAGTTCTGTTCTTCCAGTGAGGCTGGGCACTGGAGAAGCAAAGCTCTCTGGCAGGAGTAGACAGTGCCAGCCCGCTGGCCCTGCTGATGCTCAAACTGCAACTGGGGGCGGGCGTGCTGTGGAATTTTGGTCAACACATGCCAACGGCAGCTTGCCGCTGACACAGCACTGCCCGTGTCACACCTGATGTTCGTACTGACTTGCCACCCTGCGGGTCCGAGGAGAGATGGACGGCACATTCTGCTCTCCTTTTGGGGGGCGGACTCATCAGGATGAACAATGTCCAAGACGCTGACGCTTGTCTTCTTACCAGTGGAACTTGGTTTTGGTCTGAGTTTTAGGTGTTACCTGATAGGATTAGAGATTCAGGTTCTAGGACAGAGTCTTTTTTTTTTTAAATTTATTAATGAATTTTGTTACTATTTTTAAAGTTTGCTATAAGGCATGTGTGCTCAGCAGAGAGAAATGAAAAGTAAGAAAGCAAGTCACCAGATCCAGGACTCGAACCGCGGTCAGCCATGTGTGAGTCCAGCACCTGCTGGCCCCTAGGTCCCATCACAGAGTCTTACATTTAATCACTTTCCTGCTCTCTTTTTATCATTGTCACTAAATCAGCAAGTGGCCAGAGATATTGCCGTAAATGATTTTTCTTAAATGTAAAATATGATGCACTTTGATATTTTTAGTGGCAGTGATATATATGAATTAACCATCTGTAAGGTAGGTGTTAACCCTGCCCATTTTATACCCAAGGAAACGGGGACTCAGTGGAGTTAGAAGTTTGCCCTAGCTGGTAGGTGGTAGAGCCAACATTCAGGACCAGGTTTGTCCAGGTCCATGGTGGGTCCTTGTCGTCTAATTCACCCGTTCCCCTCTTGGGGACATAGATTGTGTCTGCTCCCAGACCCATTTATTAGGGTGGTCCAGTGTCAGTGTTGGACACAGTGACTTAAAAGAAGGACTAACAGGGGCCAGCAGGTAGCATAACAGTTATGTCTCTGGACTCCCAGATGGCCTGACCATGGTTCGAGCCTTGGACCTGGCAGCATGAAACTCACACCAGGTGCATGTGTGTGCATGCCCAGAATTCCAAGAGGAGAATGGACAAGAAGGGATTGTGGCATGACCATCCTCCCTGGGGGGAGTATCTGTATCTGTCTGTGTCTCTCTAGCGAGACTATAGAGAAATCTCTTTAAAAAAAAAAAAAGGCAAGAAGGAAAGGTTGACAGTGAATAGAACGCTCCTTCTGAGTATGAACACTATTGGTTGTTTTTAGCATGTTTACCTTCATGGAAGAGAGCTGAAATTTCCACCTCCTCTCTGAGGCTGCCAGGGCACAGTGCCCTGCAAGGACTGAAATAGACTCAATTTCCTTCTCTTTTTAATGTTTCAACTATAAATGTGTGCTAGCTATAAAAATTCAAGAATTTGAATCAGCCCTGTAACCTTATTCCAGTCTTCATGTGCTCGTAAGCATAAAAGCATATACTTTTATCCTGGTTACAGACACACAGAGAAAGACTAGATTATATATAGTATATAATTGCATGTACATTTTAGGGCTCTTTTTTTTTTTTTTTTCTTTTTCTTTTTTTAGTTTTTTGCCATAGGGTGCACGTCCTCAGCAGAGAGGGGGTGGCCATGCTGCAATCCCTTCTCCTCCATTCTCCTCTCAGGATTTTGGGCATGCACTCAAAACACGCCAGTATGATTTTCAAGCTGCTGGGTCCAGGTCTCAAAGCATTTTCAGCCAGTGCCTTAACCACTGTGCTACCTACTAGCCCTCAGGGCTTTTTTTTTTTGGAGAAGTTTTTGCTATAGGGCACATGCGCACGCTAGAAAGAGAGAGAGAGAGACAGAAAGCGAGAAATCACACACACACACAGTGAGAAATCACCTTCCGGGGGGAATGACCACGCCGCAATCCCTTCTCCGTTCTCTGGGGATCCTGGGCAGCAAGCATGCACACACGCCTGGTATGAGTTTAAACCACCGGGTCCAGGACTCAAACTGAAGTCAACTACATGGGAGTCCAGCAACAGCCATTACGCCATCTGCTAGTCCCAAGGGCTCATTACTTTTTAATCACCAGAGGGCACATGCATTCCCCGTGGGGCATTATCATGCTGCATCCTTTTTCTTCCATTTCTTCATCCCATCAGGATTTGAGACACACATGCATGTGAGCCCAGTGCACTTTTTAAGTTGCCTGAGCAGGGTTTGAACCGCAGTCAGCCATTGGGATCTGGCGTGCTGTGCTCAGGACTTAACCATTGCACTCTGGAACCAGCCCAGTTTTAGGACTTTTTTAATGAAAAAAGACCATAGATGGATCTGCAGCTTGCTTTTTTCTAAGTAAGATAAATTCACAATTCACACTGCCTTTCCTTCTTCGCAGAGATCCTACAGCAAGGAATTGTTTGAAGAAGTTATTTCAAAGATGCGGAAAGCAGGGATCAAATCCACAATAGCGATAGAGAAGTTTAAACTTCTCGCCGAGAAAGTAGAGGAGATAGTGGCCAAGAATGCACGTGCAGAAATCGACTACAGCGATGCTCCGGACGAGTTCCGAGGCAAGTGGGCCCACCTCTGTCGTGCCGATGCTTTGATTTGAACTTTGAAAGAGGATGGTCTGTGTTTTAAATTTTATTTGTCTATTTATTCCATGAGAGAGAGAGAGAAGGATGGGCACCTCATAGGGGCTTCATACTGTGATCTACCCCATCCCCCACCACATGTGTGTGCAGCTGGCATGTATTGAGTCATCAGAAGTCATGACACACTTTTACATACAAACACATTTTTAAAAAATCATGACTTTTCTGATGACCCAATATATATAAGGAAACATCGGGACTTGAACCCAGGACTTTCCCACCATGGGTCCAGTTACTGCTGCTCCACGAACTGGCCTTGTACTTTTAATTTTTTTAGAGAGATTTTTGCTATAGGGCATGTGCGCTTACCAGAGAGACAAAGAAAACCAGAAACAGAAAGCGAGAAATCTCCACCCCCAAGGGAGTGGCCCTGCCACAATCCCTTCTCCTCCGTTCTCCTCTCGAGATCTTGGTCACGCGCACACATGTGCCCGGCCTGAGTTTTAAGTCAGTCCAGGACTTGAACCACAGCTGACTACGTGGGCGTCCAGCAGTGTAACCATTATGCCTTCTGCTGGTCCCTGTGCCTTTAATTTTTGAATAGTGTGCTGTCGTTGATGTTTTTTTTTTTTGACACCTCATCTATAAAAATTTGCCTGTTTTTAGCTCAATTGTAAACTGAAAGGAAAACACATCCATAGCCTGATTTCAAAACAGATAATAACCCTAAAGATTTTAAGGCAGCATATCCTTTTTTACGTAAAGATTTTCATTTCAAATGATTCTCATTTCCAGAGAATTCCAAGGCCTAAGAAAGGATTCTGGCCCCCGTCTGCCCGGCAGAGCCTGTGGGGCCTACTGCTGTGTCTGTCCCAGGGTCTTTTTTTTTTCCCCCTATTTTCTCTTCCCAGCAGTAGCTGATAAAAGGGTACTTTCCCCTCCACAAAAGGCAGTGTGTATGCCTTTATCTAATGCTTTAATTTTCGTCTAAACTTGGGGACCCCACAGGGGCCATTTGATTCCTGTCCCTTACGATGTGTTTTTCACTCGTACGAGGGGCTTTGCTTTGTTTTCTTTTCAGTTCGGGACTCTGTTATTAGGTTGGAGTTTGCTTTGCTTTGTCTCTGCAGACCCTCTGATGGACACCCTGATGACGGACCCTGTGCGGCTGCCCTCCGGCACCATCATGGACCGCGCTATCATCCTGCGGCACTTGCTGAACTCCCCCACGGACCCCTTCAACCGACAGACCCTGACAGAGAGCATGCTGGAACCAGGTAGAGGAGGGTGCATCTCTAGTGGCAGTGCTGATGTCCGTGCCAGGAATGGAGCCAAGATCACAGATGAGAGATTAGCCAGAAGTGAAGTTTATCCATCCCAGAAACCACCTACTTTAGACACTTCTTACGGAAAAGACACAAAGGCCCTTTGCTCTTTTGCACTGTCGATGTCTAGTCCTTCCTTTTCATGTCCTCCTTTTTCCTGCAGTCTTCAGCTTAATGAGGGACTCAATGGGCTTTTCTTTCCATTTACACAGAACTACAAGCTTCATCTCTCAGGAAGAGCCCTCCCATCTGGAGCATTAATCCTTTTTTTCTTTTTCTTTCCTCAGTACCAGAACTGAAAGAACAGATTCAAGCCTGGATGAGAGAGAAACAGAACAGTGATCATTAAGCCAGCCCCTTTACCACCCTCCGCAGAAGCAGCCACGGCCAGCAGGCAAGCAGAGCAGCGTCAGGGTTGTGGAGCTGCCATTCACCTGCTGGGGTTAAATGTGGCAAAATTCCCGAGAGCCCACCCAGAGCAACCAAACGGTAGCGATCTGAAAGGACACGAAGAAGAGGAGCCGATTCCTGTACATATATTTAAGCGACAAACATGGTCAAAAGCTTGAGGGACACGTTTTACGATTGCTTGTGTAATAAAGCACGTCCTTCATACGTCACAATTTGGGGCTTTGCAACAGAAGTCTCTTAGCGGTGACAAATGGGTCTGGGCAGCGTCCCCTTCATTTTTTTTTTTTTAATCCTATATCCGTTGATTTGATTGTGATTAGAAAACCTTGGACATTTTGCTGCTAAAGAATCTCCCTCCCCTTCATGACCCTACTTGCACTGCTGTGGATTTTTTTTAAAAGAAGCAAAAACAAAAATAAACTCTTTATCCCCAGCCCTCCAAACATATATTCTGTGAGATAACTGTGCCTGCGACAAAGTGTTAATCCTGGGATCGTATTTTTATATCATATTCACATATTTGTTTTTTTAATTGGTGTTAGATGACATTAATAAAAAAGGCAAGATATTTTCAGAATTTGAATTTTAGTTTTTATTTTTTTTCTTTTGAAATGTCCCTTTAAAATTTTTTTATTCTTAACAAAATGAAGAGAATTCCGATGCTCTGGTCCTTACAGTAAGCCCTCTGCTAGGAACCTAAGGAACAGTTGCAGCAAAGGAGGGGTTTTAAGTCTATCAGGATTACGTGACATGTTTTTTTCCATGGGGATGAGGGTTGATTTTTTTAAACGCTACGTGACAGTTCAAAGCCTTTACATAGTTATCCTGTGAGGGTCAATAAACTCCTCAGCCCTTAAGTCTGTGAGTTTGAGACAGGGGTCATTCATACAGTGTGTCCTTTGAGGTTTGGCCTTACCAAAGCAAAAAAGGGTGCAAGCAGTGTGGAAGTCTGTCAGCTTGTGGAAACAGACAGACCAACAACAGCCACACACGCACACAGATGAAGACTTTTTGTATTACTGCTCCCTACTTAACATACTTGAATTCTCGAATTTCCTTTGGGGTAAAAAAGGATTTGAAACCATAAAGTGTTTTGAAGAAATTAAGTCTACAAAAACATACTTTCTTTTTTCTTTTCCTTTTTTTCCCCCTCCACAGACAATGTCCTCTGTTCAGTTCCTAACGCAAACTACAATAAATGGTGATACACGTTCCGAAGGAATCTTCTTTGAGTCTCTTCTTTTTGTGGAAATAAAAAGTGGAAGTGGGGTGGGTGGGAAAATAAGAGCCAAGAAGTTTGCATGTGGCGAATTATCTTTTCTGGAGCCAATTAGGGGTTTCTATTTTTAAAATAACCGTTTCTCATTCCTGTTGGTCTTGATGCTACATTTGGTTCTCATTTCATTGTTTGCTGATCTGAGGGGATGAGCTTTGTCATGTTTAGTCTTCTGCCTTTCTCAAGTTGGTGTCTTATCTCAAGCATCTTTTCAGAAGGGGGCCAGGCGGTAGTACAGCAGTAAAACACAGAACTGTGAGGCTCACCCTCCTGGAAAGGTTCCAGGTTCATGTCCAGATACCTCCCTGACTTCACCAGGCATGTGCATGCCCATGTTCTAAGGACTCCTCAGGCCAGGAGTAGATTGCAGTATCAGGACCCTGTTGGGGGTTCTGTCTGTCAGTCTGTCTGTCTCTGTCATACTCATGGAAGAAATACATAAGGAAACTTTAAAAAAAAAAAAAAAAAAAAAAGTCTTGGGGCCAGAAGAAAGGAAAATTTTTAAAAAAAAAAAAAAAAAGAGTCTTGGGGCCAGAAGATGGCATAGTGGTTAAGGTGCTGGACTCCCACATGGCCCACCACGGTTCGAGTCACTGACCTGACAGCTTAAAAATCACGCAGGGTACATGTGCATGTGTGCCCAAAATCCCAGGAGGAGAATGTAGGAGAAGGGATTGTGTGATCATCCCCTCTGGGAATGATTTCTCACTTTCTTTTTCTCTGTCTGTCTTTGTCTCTCTCCAGTGATTGCATTCACCCTATGGCAAAAACCTTTGAAAGAAAAAAAAAAAAGATTCTTACTCAAATCCAACCTATTCTCTTAGTATTTTCTTTTTCTTTTCATGTTTTTCTTTTTTCTTCTATTTATTTATTTATTTATTTATTTTGAGAGAGAGAGATATTTGCTATAGGATACATGCTGTGGGAGAGACCCACAGAGACAGACAGAAAGCAAAAATCACCCCCCACCCCAGGGGGGATGGCCACACTACAATCCCTTTTCCTCCATTCTCTCAGGATTTGGGGCATGCACACACATGCACCTGGCATGAGTTTAAGCTACTGGGTCCAGGACTTGAACCACAGTCTCATACTTGGGAGTCCAGTGACGTAACCATTATGCCGTCTTCTAGTCCCTCTATTAGTATTTTCTTAGGCACTTCAGTTTACAAAACCATTCCTATCAACTCAATAGTAGTTGCAAGCACTAATGTAGCATTTTCTGTGTGGTAGGCACTAGATAAAGGCCTTTATGGTTTTGTCCTCTAGGAAGGAAATATTGTTATCTATATATTTTTTTGAGAGTTTTTTTTTGTTTTTGTTTTTGTTTTTTTTTTTTTGCTATAGGGCCTCGCCAGACAGAGACAGAGAGCTAGAAAGCGAGAAATCACCCCCCAGGGGGGATGGCCACGCCGCAGTCCCTTGTCCTCCATTCTCCTCTCGGGATCTTGGGCACGCATGCACACGTGCCCAGCGTGAGTTTTAAGCCACTGGGTCCGGGATGCGAACCGCTAACTGCTGGTTCATCTATTTTTTTTTTTTTTTTTTAAGCAGGTCAGGGTGTGAGATGTGGGAAGGTCTGTTAACATGCCTGATGTCGTTTGGCCAGTTGGTTGAGCAGCTATCCAGACACTAGAGACCATGTCCTTAGCTTGGATATCCACTCCTTCTCTGGAACACATGTAGACTAAATCACTTCTTTTTCCTCAAAAAATACAACACATTCATTGTAGCAGAAATTTTAGACTATTCTACACAAAAAAGAAGAAAATTAAAATCCCATCATGCTTTCTGTTTAGTTTCCTTTCTACTATGATTACATAATGTATCTGCCTATAAAATTATGATATTTACTGATGTCTTACCTAATTTTGTTTGTTTATTCATCTCATGAATGTGTATTGCTTGTCTTCTCTCTACCCAGGTTATAAACTTAGGAGGCACAGATTCTGTGGTGATTAATACTTGAATCCCATATTTGTCCCCATGGATTTTTTTTTTCTTTTTTTGGAGAGGTTTTTGCTATAGGGCACGTGCGTTCACCAGGAAGACAGAGACAGAAAGCAAGAAATCACCTCCTCCCCCAAAGGGGGGATGACCACGCTGCAGTCCCTTCTCCATGCTCCTCTTGGGGTCCCCATGAATTTATTAAGATTCTGTTTTGTGCTTCCATTTGCACCGGTCATTTTGAATACTCAGAATTTGAGGTTTCAAGGACCTTCTGTGGGTGTGGTGTAGATGTAGTCAGTCCCTTACCTGTACTGTCTCTAGGGAGAAGACATCTTGGATTTCTATTTTTTAGAGTCTGGGTTACTGTTTTATAGAAACTTATGTTTGCCTTCAATCTGTTAATTTTGGATTTAAGGGGCCAGCAGGTAGTATAGTGATTAAGACACTGGACTCCCATATGGCCAACCATGGTTCAAATCCCAGACCTGGCAGCTTGAAACTCATGCCGGGAGCATGTGCATGCGTGCTCAAAATCCCGAGAGAAGGGATTGTGGCATGGCTATGCCCCTGGGGGTGATTTCTTGTTTTCTGTTTCTCTGTCTCTGTCTCTCCAGTGAATGCATGTCCCCTATAGCAAAAAAATCTCTAAAAAAAAAAAAAAAATTATGGATTTAAAATAAAGTCCAAAATATTTTAAAAGTAAGTCTCGAAAAGGGAAGATTGTCAAACAGGAAGGAGAATCTGAGAATCAGATCAGCAGACTCAGAAATGGTCCTTGAGACAAAAAAAAAAAAAAAAGATTAAAATAACTTCTTACTCGTTTTGTGACTCATGATTGTGTGGGTTTTTAAAAGGAGTTTATAAAACATCTTTTGGAGAAATCTCTGCATCACTTTGTTCACGTTTTATAATCTTTGGATTTCGTACATAAAATAGTGACAAATTATTTGTTAAAATACAAAAGTGGCATGAGTAGCTCCATCTGATGAGGTGAGTTTTTGATTGAAGGAAACAGCCATAATAACCTTGAGCTTGACGTTAGTATCAACTGATACCGGGCTGAAGGAAGTCATTCTGGGTTGGTAGATTATGATTTGCATTTCTTGAGTATTTTCCATGTGCAAGTCATTCTTATATGTGTTGATTTTGATTCATTAAATATTCAACAACCATGTGAAAGGGAGTGTGGTAGGGAGCCAGCAGGTGGCACGGTGATTAAGGCTCTGGACTCCCAAATGACTGACTATAGTTTGAGTCCTAGACCTGATGGCTTGCTTTTTCACTTTCCGTATGTCACTATCTGACTCTGATGAGTATGCATAATGATACATAAAATAAATAGTTTTTAAAATAGACTAATGTTTCAAGGTCTAGCAGGTGGCGTAGTGGTTAAGAGCACTAGACTCCCATATGGTCGACTATAGTTCGAGTCCCAGACCTGGAGACTTGCTCGCTCGCTCTCTCTCTCACTCTGTCCCTCTCTGGTCAAATTTAAATAAATAAATAAAGTTAAATAAACTAATTTTTTTTTCTTTTTCTTTTTAGAGAGTTTTTTTGCTATAGGGCATGTGCACTTGCCAGAGAGACAGAGACAAAGTGAGAAATCACCTCCCGGGGGGATGGCCATGCAGTAATCCCTTCTCCAATTTCCTCTCAGGATTTTGGGCACACATACACACACATACGTACGCATGCCCAGCATGAGTTGTAAGCTGCTGGGTCCAAAACTTGAACCACAGTCGACTACGTGGGAGTCCAGTGACGTAACCATTATGCCATCTGTTGGTCCCAATAAAATAATTCTTTTTATAAAAACTGAAATAGGCTAATATTTAAAAAACTGGCATACAAGTGTAGGCCAGTGCTTCAGAGCCTGATCTCTTCACTGCCCTTGCTCTACAGCAGTGATCCAGAATGGTCCAAGACCTGAATAGTTCAAACTGCCCAGAGAGATACAGTACAACATTCTGGAAGAGGGTTTGAGCTATAGCCTTAACCTTCATTTTAAATGGTTAGAAACCTTCAATCTCAGGGTCCAGCAGTTGGTGTGGTGGTTAAGGGCATTAGATCCCCACATGGATGACCACAGTTCGAGTCCTGGAAGAAAGGCAGAAAGCAGCTTGCTTTCTCCCTTTCTCTATCTCTCCCTGATCAAATTTAAAAATAATAATAAATGGAAATAATTCTTTTAAAAAAAAAACTTTCTAAAAAAATAAAACCAGTCTCATGGCTTTTTTTTTTTTTTTTTTTTTTGTGAGAGGTTTTTGCTATAGGGCATGTGCGCTCGCCAGACAGAGAGAGACAGAGAGACAGCAAGCGAGAGATCACCCCGGGGGGGGGATGGCCACACT